GGGGGGGGGGGGGGGGGTCTGGAAAGGGAGAGGGTCATGGGGAAGTGGGTACTGGACATAACAAGGATGAACATACAAAAAAAATCACAGAGTATTTCCAAGAGACTCGTCCATATGAATCTAGCTGAAACTGGCCAAAAGACAAGTCCTATCAAGTACAGCCACACCACAATAATTCTAGGCTCTGCCTCCTTGCTTTCCTCATCACTTTCTAGTCCTGAATGAACTAAGCCAACACAATCTGGCCTGTGAAGTTACAACAAAAACATGTACAGTTGTGTGTATAGTTTTTTCAATGACAAGAGATTTGTGCAGGAGAAGGTCTACATCAATATGAATGGAAAAAAATAGACCTTTTAAAAATAGAACAAAGAGAAAGTTTCCACATTTGGTGATACTGATACCAGTTTCCATTGAATGAAAGTTTATGAAGAAACTCATCTCGTTTCTGTAAACAATATATTTTAACAGATTTGCAATAGATGGTGAAGTCAAGCATATATGCAACTATAAAGAAAATAATCATTCCTTTCAAAAATACTGGTAGATCCTATGTCCAAAGCATACTTAATGTTATCTTAAAGCATATAGCCTCAATGAAAAAGCTAGAAATCTAGTATCTCAAATGTGACATTTTTTCCCCTTCAATTTCCATAATTTATCTTTGGACACACTATAACACACTTATTTAGAAGAGCTAATTTATCTTTGTTTCTGGTGGTGCTACACACATCAAGGATTTATTTTGTTATGGGAAATTTCAAAACAACAAAACACTTGTAAAACTTTTTTGTCACTCCGTATTTCATCATATTTTAAATGTCGGTGACTGCATACTGCCTTGAGCATGGCACCTACAAATGTTTTAATCATGTTATTTAATAAAAAAATTTTAATGGAAATTTTCATCTATTTTAATGCACATGATTAACGTTATTTACACACCACATTGACTGTGATAATTCACAGCTCTCCAATTTCAGGTTAGTTCATTTTGCTGATCATAACAATTAGAAGAATACTGGACAATAAACACTTTCAATTAAAATGTAATGGTCAATGAAAAAATGACATTAATCTTAAATATACAGGCAAATAATAACAAAGTTGTTCTAACAGGCAGACATATTTAGTATGGATGCAAACAAGAGTTTATTCCCTGTTAGAATGACATCAAATATTTCTGTTCAGCAAATGAATGGATCAAAGTAAGGAAAGATCTCACCAAAAAGTTCACTGGATCCAGTAGAAAATGGCAAGGAAAAGATCTGTGCACAAATGAAAACAGCATTTGTACAAATGATGAAAAAAAATAAAAACAATTCATAGGGCCTTTTAAACTTAAACAGATCTTGGCAAGACACCAAGATCTGAACCATTTTTGTCACCTGATCGCTTTGACAAGGCCAGTGGATCAGGTGACCTCTTTGACCAGACTGGTGGATCGGTTGACCACTTTGACTAAACTGGTGGATTGGTTGACCACTTGGACCAGATGGGTGGATCAATTGATCGCTTCGATCAGACTGGTGGATCAGGTGACTGCTTTCATCAGACTGGTGAATCAGTTGACCGCTTTCACCAGCCTGGCAACAATGAGGTATTTTCTCCTGTCACAGATCAAGACGGTCAAAGATAAGAGGCCAACAGCTGAAATGGTGCGGTATCAGAGATAAGCACAGCCCAATTAGTCACTTCATCAAAGTCAAAGGAGAGAAACAAGAAACAAGCTTTTACAGCAGTGCTGTAAACATGAGCCCCTTGCCTTTAGGTGGAGCTTTAAGACATTCACTCTTTGCATCTTATTATCTTTCAATACAAAATGGACAATTCAAACTCACAGATTTAAAAAAAAAGAAAAAAAAAAAGAAATCACACACATTTTTGTTGTTGAAAATGTTAAAATCAAAGCACTTAAGATATAATGCAGGTAGTCTTTAGTTATCTTAGTTATCATGTACCTATTGACTGTGAACTGGTGAAATAATTCTGTTAAAAAGTATCATCAGATTAAATAATAACAATTATTTTTGTATTTTAGCAGTATGGATCACCAAGCCACTGAAATTAAAGTAGAAAAAAAATGTGTAGTTATTGCCCATGTTTCACTTCTCTGTGAAAATTCCAAAGAAAACCCATCTTGACAAGTGAGAGCTTAAAATGGTTATAGAAGTATAGGAGAAACACTCTATTGAACTTATCCAAGCCTAACGAATAAAACGTTGATTTTAACATTTTGCACCTGTTTTCGACAGTTCCTTTGCAAATGACATCTGACAAACCACGTTTCATATCACAGTGATGTTAGCCACAAGAGATTTAGTGTATCTATTGCTCAATTTAGCCACAGGAGACAGTGAGCCTATTTCAGCTCGGGACATAGAATTTTTAACCTTTACACGTTTAAAAAAAATGTTTGTTGAATAAAATAAAAATAAAATAAACATCTTGGAATATTTAATACTGTTAAAAGCTTCAGAGGTTCAGATTTATGAGTAGCCTTTTACGTAATAAATAATCCTTAATGTACGCAAGACTTCATAAACTTATGTGGACAAAGTAGTTAAGTTAAATGCCATTATGAGAACTGTATATTTTGTACTAACACTATTCAGGTTACACATTTACAATTCTTTGTTTTTTCACAATATGCCATATGCCAGGCTAAAGATCCAACAAGACTGTGAATATAAAATAATAATAGACTGGAGGTGGCAATGTTTAGTTGAGGAATACAATTGTTTTGGTTTTAAGTGCCCTACAAAATATCAATACATCATGTTTATGTTGCATTACCGTAGACTTTAAGTTGAGCTGTTTTTCTTTAAGAAGGCCCAGATCTATTGACAGTCCATAAACAGAGCAAATTGTACTTGAGAAAATACATAACAAACTAGGACACAGTCCTGACAATGATTAGGACACATCTCAACCATTGGGATGAACATTGTAATCAGTGCGTGCGGAGAAATGTATGTGCCAAGGACCCCCATGGGAAGAGTAGCCTTTTGATCAAATGAAGCCTTTCACCTGACTCCCCTGTGGCAATGTCAGAGTTTTCGACTCATGTGCAGAGCATGCTACCTGATGTTAATCTTTTCAGTGAGCACTGGAAGTAACTCTACCAGGGTTAGAAAATGAATTCATTTGTACATATTAAACTTCAAATCCAAAATAAATGATTAATTTCCAGTTTAAAAGTTGGATGAATTCATAATATAACAAATATAGAAATCATGACCACTAAAACAGGATGTGATGTTAAAAAATGTAAGCCAAATTTCATCTGTTTAATTAAAACATCTTAAATAATTAAACAGCCTGACAGGTCCACTCATGCAATGTGATGATGTAACTAGTTTTGTTTGAGAATCAAAGTCAATAAATTCAGACTATTTTCAGGGCAGTGTAAAACAATACATGGCATACTCTTACAAGACTAATGTCCTGTACAGTGAAATAAGGTGAATATATTTCTAATCGCCATTAACAAGAAGCTCATAGGATTCATAGAGCTGTATCATAGCATTGAAAGAAATGGCAAACATAAATCTAATCAAACAATTGTAACACAAAAAAAAAACAAGATCATTTGGTGCTGTGAGTAAAAGAAAAACATTCCCAGTACTGGCTTCCAAGATGTAAACATCATAAATTAGATTCTAGGCATGTCTGACTATGGAAAAAAAAAGAATATTTCTCTTATTCAAATGCCATTTTTTTTTTATTAAAGTCTGAAAGGTCCAAAACTGACAAGTCTATTTACTTAGTTAACATATTGAAACTCTTTGGGCACTCAGCCAACTACATGACATGCCCTGAGCAATAAGATTTGACATAGTTCATATTGACTCCAGTAGAAAGTTCTGTCACAGGCCTATGTAACATGCACACACTCCACTCCTTCAACAAAGTAACAATATTTAGAATTCCATTTCTTGGTAATATTTAAGTGGTCTCCCTTTGTACTCCTCCAGTTTCTCCATGATTTCCTTGCAGATGGACATGACCTTGGGGTCGAGGTTCCCAGACATCATCAGCTGGTGTATATGTTCATGGCCCCCTTCATTATTTAACAGAGTTAAGTAGCGTTTGCCTACAATGAAAGCAAACAACTGCTGCAATTATGTATTACATTTAAAATGTAAAATAATGCCTTGAATTAAAATGGATAATAAAAGTCTCAGTAAGGTAGCAGTGGATTATAAAAGAAATCCTTTACTGCCTGTAGCCCTATATGTCAATTGCAACAAAAAGGGACTTTTATTAAAACTAAATATAAATAATTTGAAACATCTAATTATTAAATGTATTACAGATGTACACAAAGCAAAAATTGCTCCGTAAAAAGGATGGCAAAGTTTTCTTTATTTTCAATTCAAATTTTCTCACCGGTCTTACTGTCTATCGATTGTCTCCACAAATGACTTACCATTTTTAGAGCAGACATGATGAATAGCCCAAACAGCCCACAGCTGTATTGGTGTGTCTGGGCTCTGTAGCAGTGGAAAGAATGGGCTAAAGGATCTGTGGAGACAGCCACAACTAGGATATCATGTGTTTGGAGATAAAGCTTTAACAAAAAGTCATTATTTTTCCTTTACAAAAATCAGAAAAGGGAAATTAAGTTTTTTTAAAGACATTTTAAAAAAAAATTAACAATTAAAGAAAAAGAATTGAAGAAATTTAAAATAAGAAATACCTGAAATTTAAAAAAAATTCTACATGCTCTTATATATGTAAAATTATTAAAAAGTACCCATGACAACTAATGACATAAAATTTTAATCAGTGTCATAAAACCCATGAAATTAAAATCTACATATAAAAGAAATGTGATTTATTTAATTGATATTGTACATCTTATGATAGTAGGGCAAACAAAATGTAATATGTCAAATACATGTCACACTGGATGCATGAAAGGAAAATCTCAGATTACTGACCTATATGCAACCATTTCTGCTTTAGGCTGATCCCAGTTGGAAACTACTGTCCTCTGTGAACAAAACAGAAATATGCTCAATAGCTTAGAGGGAATTATTCTATAACAGCAATGTTTACTAGGATTTATATACAATCATCAATACGCTGAATAGCTTTGAGGGAATAATTCTATAACAGCAATGTCAACTAGGATTTATATACAATCATCAATACGCTGAATAGCTTTGAGGGAATAATTCTATAACAGCAATGTCAACTAGGATTTATATACAATCATCAATACGCTGAATAGCTTTGAGGGAATAATTCTATAACAGCAATGTCAACTAGGATTTATATACAATCATCAATACGCTGAATAGCTTTGAGGGAATAATTCTATAACAGCAATGTCAACTAGGATTTATATACAATCATCAATATGCTCAATAGCTTTGAGGGAATAATTCTATAACAGCAATGTCAACTAGGATTTATATACAGTCTTCAATATGCTCAATAGCTTTGAGGGAATAATTCTATAACAGCAATGTCAACTAGGATTTATATACAGTCATCAATATGCTCAATAGCTTTGAGGGAATAATTCTATAACAGCAATGTCAACTAGGATTTATATACAGTCATCAATATGCTCAATAGCTTTGAGGGAATAATTCTATAACAGCAATGTCAACTAGGATTTACATACAGTCATCAAGGTTTGAAATGTGAATTCTTTGAATACACCAATGCCAGTAAGTAGGCTTACCAAGTCCTCTAGTATGTCATATCTGTCAAGTCCTGCAATACTTCTCCAGGCTTCATCTCCATCACTACACAAATGGGCTAAAATTCCAGCAGCAAAGTAGCTGACATCAATATGTTCACCATGTAACATTTGCCTAGTTGGGAAGTATATTTATTCATGCTTGAGTATGCAATATTACAAAATAATAGCATACTGACTTATCAAGACTGAGTAAACGATTGAGTTAAGCCAGGATTTAAAAGAATATTGGCTTAAAAATGGATTATAAAACAATAATTAAAAGCTTACAGTGCTAGTGAATTAATGATTGTGGAAATATAATTAAATCCAAACCTTTTCTTAAGTACTTCTTGTAAATTTAGGAAAGGAACCATCATCCATGTTAAAAAATGTATCAAATGTTAAAGACATTTAAAATAAATAAATAAACTTACTTGATAAGCATGATGAAATCTTCTCTCATGAGCTTATGCCTCAAATTTTTAACTTCTGCAATATTGTTCTGTTAAATCAAAAGCAGTATATCACTTTTAATCACTAAATTTTTAATTTCAATCGGCTAGTAACATAAATTATAAACGTAATCTCATTAATACTAGTATATTTAATTTTAAATTTGTAACTATTATATTAAACCCTTACCTTTCCCAATACACTTCTTTGCTCTTATCACATATCCCATTTCACATTCACATCCGTGACACATATGGTTAAATATAATATCAGTAAGACAAACCCGGAACTCGCCTTGAATATTTGACCTGGCCAAATATCCCATTTTTTAAAATTATTTGCCTCTGCAAATAACACACATCCAAATATTTATTTGAAAATTACTTTTTTTTAAAGATGTCCAATAAACTTGTGTATTAAAATGGATGGCTGGATGGCAGCGGGGTCTAAATTTGCATCAATTTAAAACTTGTGGCTTGGAATTCATTCCCTTTCAAAACCCAGACAAAAAACCTTCATCAACAGCACCCCATGGTTTTAGCCAGTGAAAGAAAGCTACTAAAACACCTAATCTCCACATAATATAACATAACAACAAGAACAATTCATGAATGGTCACCCTTTAGCTGTCACAGTGATTATAACATGTTTACATTCAATACAAATGAATAGATCACAGATTTTAAATAAAAACACCTGTATATATTATGATTTTCTTCAAATTTTTAAATTTTAAGCAATCAATAATAATTTTGTAAAAAATAGATGCAAGTGTTGAATTTGATGGCAATTTAGATGTAAATACAGATTATTCAACAGTTAATTATGCTAGCTGTAGTATGGTATTACAGATTGCCATATTCGTATTAATGAATAACATTATTTTTTTCTTTATTGAGAGAACAGAGCATGCATAGTATATGCTCATATAGTTAGTAGCACCCATCCACCTTTGACGTTAAAAAAGCATAAGTAGTATTGGTATGACTGCAATTCATTTTAAATATTATAACATTTTAAAGGATTTTGAAATATTTCTTTAACCCACAAACTGTGGTCTGCATCGGCCGATTTCCTCTTTCTAAACTGTGTCGGCCGATAACAATTGCGTTGAAAGAATAAGGTCCAGTCCAATATTTTACACCATATAAAACTACTTCCTTTTAGTAATAAATAAACTTCAGTTTTTCGCTTCCGTTGTTCTTTTTTTAAACTTTGGGATTATCATTTACAATGATCTTTATCAAGCATATTTGTGACAGTAGATTTTCGTGAAATGGATGAGGCTATAGCTCTACCATCTGGCTTACAAAATAAATCAGTTAGGAATCTTTTAGATAATTCTTATTAGTTAATGACTTAATTGATTCGGAAGATGATTTTCGTTTACACACGAAGACAATGATAACTCCAATTATTTTTCTAGTGGGTCAGAAAGCAAAAGTTCTGAGGATTTAGACCTAGGCCCTAGAAGGAGTATGCATTGCAGCAACAACATAACTCGTTCAAAGCTATGTTGCAGATGATTTTGTACAACAAAAAATAATTCAATGTTCTATATATGTTTTCTTATATTCATTTTATGGATCAAATATTTATATAGCAGCTATTTAAATGTTATCCGTTTCATGCTATTTATTAATGTTTATATCGTTTGTGTTGTGCTTTGTTACTTGAACATAATTACAGGTACCAGAAGAATTAAAAAAAATATCTAATGATAACTAAAACATATACAAATAATACATTTTCTGAAAGATATATAAAAATGTTATCATATTATATAAACATTATAATAATATACCTTTAAAAAAATTGTAGTTTGAGGTACTTGAAAATAAAAATTTTCATTATTTTCTTTATTCTTGGTCACTCCTAGGTCATGGTCAGCGAGTATAAAAGATCATTAAAAATTCCCCGCACATTACAGAAACATACCATACAAACTTCGTGGGTCAAAAACAAATATTTCTTTAGTTAATTAATATTGTATTTTATTTGACAGATCACATTATATAAAGACACAACATTATACGTGGATCACTTGATATGCTACATAATATGATATCTTCAAGAATAATGTTTAGCTTTATATATGGAACAAAGATACTCAGATTTGCACCCTGATTAGCAAAAATTAGTAAAAAAAAAAAAATTGGCTTGGGTACCCATTGTAAATGTCCACCCATTGATCACTGAACATTAGTTAAAAGAAAAAAAAGTAGAGAAAATTAGCTACTAATTTAACATGATTATAATAATAAACATAAACTTAGAATGAACAAAATTCTTGTCTTCTTTTCAAGAGCTGGAAATCTATTGCCATTTTATCAAAGTAATCTTGTAAATGCCATATCATTGGGTACTTTTGGTAGCATTTGACTTTGATGGTGTGTTAGGGTTGATTCATGCTTTTACCTTTTTCAATTCATATAATTTATGCAGCTGACACATTTAAAAATATTTTATTGAGCAAGATTTCTTTTTTGTTTGATCTATCATGCCTTTGATTTGGGGAATATTGATTATTTGGTCATCATTCATAAAGTATTTTAATGCTTTTGTTTCAATTAAAATCTGTTTTTAAAATGTGCAGAAAATACATTGAAATCCCAGCAATAATATCAATACTTTTAGATCTTGACCTACCAGCAGACCAAGAATTTTTGTCTCCACTTGAACATGATTCTCTGTCTCCTCTCCATCAGTTAGCTGCAGAAGCTTCATAAAAAGTTCCAGACCACCCTCAGTTAAGAAAACATTGCACGTGGATGGTGCCTCATCTGGGGATATCATGCAAACTGTTATCACTATACAACATAGTGGACCTTCCAAGGTGCAACTCATTCTCTAGCAAATAACTCAGTGGGGTTAAGTCACCTAATTGCTTATTTCAGTGGATCCAAAGGATGCGGCCAAATGCCACCCCTGCGCATAGCAAGAAGCATATCTAATTTCATTTTAAAAAAGCTATGAAATGTCGTGTCCCTTGGGACTACAGGTGATGGCGTGATTCTGCATGATTTCAATTTCAAAAATTGAAATTTTTTATCTTGTTTCAATTTTAATCTATGTGTGCTTTACTGCAGTGCTTATACATCTACCACATGTTTATCCGAGGTGCCACAAATCAATTTTTTGGTCACTCCTCGTTATTTGTTCGGCGATCATGTTATATATTAAAAAAAATTAAACCTTATTTATATCTGGATGCATTTAGCCCAAATACATTAATATTGATTAATATTTAGCAGCTTAAAAAAATATTTTACAAATGTAAATCAATTGCAAAACGGAGTTACTTACTCGGGAATATAAATTAAGAACCGACCTAGCCCTGCTGTCAGGATCAGATTAACAATATGTTATTCTCTGGGTGGACAGAGTAAATTATTAATCAGTACAGTCATAATTAGAACCATCAGTTTGCAAGAGCTCACCAGTAAGGTTCCACAATGCACTGAGAGTAAACCTAAGAGTGATATCCAACTCCCGAATGACTAGTCTCTCTTCAACCAACATCAACAACTTCTTCATGTAGCGCGCCTTCGCTCCAAGAATTGTTGTTTGCTCAGTAGATATCTGGAAACATGAAATGTTTGAAATTATAAGAAAATGACCCTCTACTGCAGCAGGCTGGAGCTGTTTAGGTATAAATCAAATACTGTTAAGTTAATGGAAGGGCTAAATAGAAACTGAATTGGAATATTTCAGAAAAAAAAAAATTATTCAAAATGTACCATAGTACATTTAAGAAAATAATTATTTAAAATGTACCATAGTACATTTAATAAAATAATTATTTAAAATGTAACATAGTACATTTAAGAAAATAATTATTTAAAATGTACCATAGTACATTTAAGAAAATAATTATTTAAAATGTACCATAGTACATTTAAGAAAATAATTATTTAAAATGTACCATAGTACATTTAAGAAAATAATTATTTAAAATGTACCATAGTATATTTAAGAAAAGAATTATTCACAATGTAACATAACATAGCAAATTCAGACCTGCCAACCTGCCAAGAAAAAAAAAATCTGTAGGGGGGTGCACACAGGGGGTAAGTGGGGCCCCCAGAGGGTGCGCCCGGGGGGGGGGTGGGGGGGAAGGGGCTGGTTTAAGATCTATATACTAATGCACAAGCCCTCTTTTTTTATAGTAAATAAAGAAATATAAAGTTAACTCATTGTCTTTGAAGAGTCCTCAGAGCATGAGAAAAACATTACTGGAAAAGTATATACAGTACAGGACAGAAGATCCATTTTATTGACATATGTACGCAGGCTGCTAAGACTCTTAGTAAGAGTTCAGTTTTCCAGCATATCCCTAGTGGCCATTTTGCACTTGTCCAACAGCTCTTTGGACGACTGGAGGTTAGTATTGCAATCGACAATTGATTTTAGTTAAAAGCAAGTTAGAAAAAGTATCAACTTTCATTCTTGCCCTGGTTTCATTGTAATTTTTCTTTACAATTTTCTAGCACTCTGCAGGTCTGAAAACATTTCTTTGACTCTGGCATCAAAATGATCGGAGTTGGCTAGAGAACTATTTCCTTCAATAAGAAATGAGGTAAATAAAACGTTCTGCTAACTGAATCGAAAGAAATTAGACATGGATTACGATTATCTGCAGTTGTATGTTTTTTAGGGGGGTTAAAATATGTTTATTAATATCATTGTACCTGTCACTTTCAATAGATTTAACCATTTACTTAAGAAAAGCTTTAAAAAAAAAAAAAAGGCTGAAATATTTTTTAGCCCTGTAAAAAGGATGAATAGATGATGAAGATGATTGAAGAATGATTTGAAGATCGCGGTTCACTTCAATAAAAACAAGGCAGTGTCTACATGTCAGGCGATTCGACAAATAGTGCTGGAGATATTCATCCGGCAGGCATGTCATGCTTTATAAAAACCATTGTCACTTTTTAACTAATTGTTCATTATATATACAAGCAATGGGTCTAGTATTTCTTGTGTATAATTGAACATATTTCTTTTTCGTGTAAAAATCCAGACTATCTTAAATTTGTTGAAATGAAGTACCTTAAACGCTGATCGACAATTAGCCGTCACATGACAAGCTGACGGACAAATAACTTGTGCAACTTTGTTACGGTGGTCATGTGACTTGGTCGAATATATAATAGCCGGACGAATACCTCGAGAATAATTCACTTATTCGTCCAGACGCCGGACAAGTATGCACTTCGTATAAATAAATTCAACACTTTCTGTCGTACCTGCTTTTTTCTTTTTTGTCGCTTTCGGAATTTTATAATGAGTGAAAAATGATAAAGTTAAAAAAAAATCGGAATTCCAAGGGTTTTGTCGGAAAGTCAGAAATGAGGGGTAAAAAATCTGTATAATTCAGACAAAATCAAAAGGGTTGGCAAGTCTGTAAATTTAAGAACAATATTTAAAATGTACATTTAAGAAAACAGTTCTTCAAAATGTAACATAGTACATTTAAGAAAACAATTTTTCAAAAATGTACCACAGTGGACGCAAATGTGGAAACTAAAACATGTGTTTAGCATTTTTTATTACAGATGTTCAAACAATTGAGGATTTTTACATTATTTTTAACAAATAAAATATTCCATTGACAAATGCACATTAAATTTGTAAAGGGCATAATGTTAAACTAATGTATATGTTTTAAAGTTAATAAATAAATATGGTAAAAAAACAACAAACCTTTGCAGCAAGTATGGAACATATAGCCACAGACATACGGTTCATAGAGGCATCATCAAACTGACACATACATTCCATCACTAAACGAGAACATCTGAACCTATCAAAGTTCTGAAATACATAGCAATAGACAAAAAAACAGTAAGTGGTTTATACTTTTAATTATGTATTGCATAGGACTGATCTAGGTTCAATTGAATGCAACATACTGTAGACACAGTTAAAATATTTTATGAGATATTAATAAAGTTTTGCAATATTTTCAGAAAAAGGATGTGCATCCTAACATAAAATGATTTCAAACATTTTTTTTGGGCAGATGAGCCCATCTGGGCCATATCACATACCCTAAAATATGTATATGTATATATAATAATAATAATAATAAAGTTCATTTAAAAAACACGCTTCATCCCCAAAGGCTCGAAGCATGGTACAAAGTCAACAAGAAACATATCTATAATTTACCACATTTAAAACAAATGCAACACTACAAAAACTAATTACAAGCATACAATCTCAAAGTCTTTCTAGCCATTTCAACCCGGAGCAACACAGCCATTATGCATTAACTGGAAAATAAGGTAGACAATCATCCCAGAAGGTATTTGCGAAATAGATGTGTCTTTAGATCGGTTTTAAAGGACTCCAGTGTCTGGTTGTTTCTAAGATCGACAGGAAGGGCGTTCCAAATTGTTGGACCAGCAAATGCGAAAGTGCGCTTTCCGTAAGTCTCAAGGCAAACACGTGGTGTCGAGAGTTTGCCACTATCGGATGAGCGGAGCTCTCTAGTGGGTACATATATGTGGTGTGGCATCTTGTCGGAAAAGTGTAGTTTGAACAGAAATGCCCACATTACATTCATTTTGTTTTAAAGCAGAAGGTTTTATAAGTAACTCATCATAAAACAGAGTTGGGCAAGAGAAAAAATGTAAGGAATACCTACCACTTCCTGCAATATGCGATCACTGCAGATAGTAAGGAGGGCATTCTTTTGAAGCTGATCAAAAAGAAATTAAAATAAATTGCTGATAAGTTTAATGAAAGGCAAATACATGAATTGTACTTAAAACTCAAATTTTAATACGGTGTTTAATGTTAGATCAACAAATTTAACACTTTCAAAAGATTATTCACAATAACATCCCATAGTCTTCTTAACAACGAAAATGATAATATAATGAATAGTACTAAGTCATTCTTACTAAATCTTTTTGTAAAGCTGAAACACAACAAAAAAAGCTACCCAGGTTTGAAGTTATTAAACTCAAAGTCACACCTGTTGATGATTAGGGAAATTTTCCATGGCGGTCAAAGTCAAGTCCACACATTTGGATAGCATGACAGGATGTATCTTTAAGCCTACATCTCCTCTTGTTAAATTATAGAGACAGGCTGTGGCCGCCATTTGTACAGACAATATCTTTGGATGGCTTTTCATTGCAGGCAAGACCAACTAGCAAAAGAAAAAATGTTAAAATCATTTTGCATAGGCTGAAACTTCAGCACCTGCCTGGTTTAATCTTAAATTACTTTATTTTAAGTTACCAGAATAGAGTATGACATTGTATTTATACGTAAATTAAGTAAAGAAGCTTATTTTGCTTAGTCTTAACATTTTGATGTAATGTTCCGAATGATCCCATCATAACAAGCAATGTTATACTGTGTACAATTTTTATGAGACACTACAATCCATTAATACTTAAATGGCCATGAAAAATAAAACTAGATTTCTCCGCAAACATTTGTCTAACCCCGTGAGGCTTTCTGATCTGCAATTCATGCAATTATATATGCTTACAAAGAAAAACTGTATGTCCTTACCTTTATTATATCCTCTCGTGGTTCCTCAGTACCCTGTGACAGGTTAAATAATTTAAATAACGCTTTCTGCATATATGCACTGCGAGGAAGGTATCGACGCAGGGATTCCATTATTTGAGCTTCTGTAGCTTCTCCTGAGATCTGAATTTGAATGCCAAAAAAATGTAGCTTGTTTTTTACCCTTACTAATAGGGGTGTGCCGGATCCGTTTTTTCCAACCGGATCCGGATTTTCTTATGCGAAATCCGCCGGATCCGGATACCGGTTTCTCCCGGATTCCGGATTTTGGTACTATTGGTAGATACTTCGGTAAGTCAAGGTGGACTACTACTTTTTGTGTATGGGAATTCGCAATCGGCGCCAAAAAATCCGAGTTTTTAATTTTCCGATGTGTGTGTCTATTTATTATTAAATTAGTACTTTCGATATATATTTGAGTTCCGTTCCATTTGGATAAGTGTCTTACGAGAGACGCCATGTTTCTACGCGTTCGCAGCAGGTCATGCAGCTCGCTCAACCTAATTTCGCCATGGGGTTGGCCACGCCCCCCTTTTTAATGGCGGAAGTTGACGATACTTAGGAAATATTAATTTATTATCACTATTTACATCAAAATAATTGATAACTTGTGTTTCAGAATGCATTTAAAGACATTTAAACTGGAATGTTTTAATTTGAGCTTTAACAACCCGGTAGAATCCATATTATAAATGATCAGAATTTACCGTGTGCAACACGTTGTCATTGGCAACCATTCACAGCCACTTGCATAACTGTATCGTAGTACTACCTCAGAGTTTCATTCATAAGAGTTTGCCGTGTGCAAAAACTATTAAACCATTGGTCAGGGAAAGCTTTAATTAATTATTCATGTGCCAAAGTTGAAAGTTTAAACTAAGTCTAAACAGTATTTTAGTGATAAGGCAGGGAATGCGTTGCCTTATATAAACTATATAGTCATTGCGCATGACGGGATTGGTGGAATGAGATCACAGAATGTGGAGATGCAGTCCATGTTAAAAAATGACAAACCAAGTCGTACTTTAAAAATTCATAACTTTAAAACTACAACAGCTAAAAATATGATTTTGGTGTTATAATTCTTAAAAAAATTACATCTTTTCAACTATGCCATTGGTTTATTTTTACAAAAAGTTTACATTTTCTTATCAAAGTCCCTACACTATTGGCCACTATTAGTGGTGCTGACTCTAGCCTCTGGTATGTACGGAATATTAAACATTAAACAAGCTCAACGCTCGAAACAATCGATTAATGTATCGTGATCGTGTGAAATTCGGGAAAGAGAATTACTTTTATTTCAGATTATGATCCGGTGAGTCACAAAATCTGGCAAATTCCGAAATCCGGTATATTCTGGATTCCGGAATCCGGTTGTTCCGGATACATGTAAATCCGGCGGAACCGGATTTCACCGGATAGTGCAAAATCCGGCGGAACCGGATTCCGGACCGGGGTCCGGCACACCCCTACTTACTAAAACATATTTAAACATGCAGTACAAGCTGTGAACAAAATCAGTGAATGAAAAATAAACAGCACTTTGAGGAAAAAAATATGCAGTTGAACATTACCTCTACACACTCACCTTTAAATCTGAATGCGACCGATACCAACTGCTCTCTGGCTGAAACATGTCATATTCAGATATTGATGTCAACGCCAAGCCCAAGAAATTTAACTTCTGGTGTCTTTCTAAGAATGATCTGTGGTTTTTAAAGATAATTAAAAATCAAATACCACAAATCTTTTTGATAAAACAACCCCTAAAACAGAACAACAGAGGAAAACTAACTAAAAAAAGAAAAAAAGAAGCCATATAAAATGGTGGCCTTTCATATACGAAATCGATGACACAAATCAAGAATCCATTTGGAAAAAAAAGCAACACATCAAAACCAACAACTTATAAAGGCTTTTTGAAGCAGTTTTAAATATTAAAAAATAAGTCCGCAATGTTTATGAAGATAAACAAAATCTCAGATTTTGTGCAAACCTAACAAGCATTGATGTGCAAACCTAATAAGCATTGAAATACTATTGAAATAATTGATGTTTATAGGGAGGACCTGCAAATGATTCAAACTGTCCATTTGATTTCTTTTTTTCTCTTCAAACAAACAATAATATAAAATAATTTGTACAATGTGTCTTTAGGTTGAATAGAAAAATGTTTGTTTAGTCTAAAGGCAACTCAGCAAGTTTCAATTGACAAATATTACTACACCTCTCAAGCCATGGGTAAGACATTTCATAACCCAGGGTTTGTTAAACAGAAAAATGGAGTGTATCTTATGGCATTTACTTGTTATAATTCATTATGTTCAAATAAAATTTAATTCTCATTATGCAGATTGTTAAAAGATAATTTTTGGGGATGAGGCGTCATACATTTTTAAAAAGTTTAATGAAGGCTGATTAAAAGAATCATAGTAAAGACATGAAAACAAATTAATTAAATTACTTACTCAACAATACATGGTGCAACATCAGCAGCCCCAGAAACATCTACAGACATCAAATTTGGATTAGTCTCATATCTGGACAGATACTCTGGAACCTGAAAGCGTTCGGTGGCCACAGATGTTATAATAGATTCACGAGTGGCATCATTGGAAACATCCAGATGAACAAGATGTATGAGTTCATTCACTACTCCGATGGGGTCTGAGTTTTTATGCAGCTGCAAATTGTACATACTTAACGACCTCAAACGATTTTTACATTTCTTAAGGGGAGAGATGTCGTTGATTTCAGTGCTGGAGATGTCCAGCACCTCAAGACAAGGAAGATCTTCTGCAATGATTTCCAGACCATGGCGATTGAACTCTGTGAAGCTGACATTCAGTGTGTGGAGATTTCTGAGTTTTGAGAGGGACACGACAACACAGAACTTGGAGTTATTCAAGAAAGTGTTTCTGCTCACATTCAGGATTCTCAGATTGGACAGCGTCCACTCTCCGAGACAGCCGATAATATCGTTGACCGTTACGTCCTTGATGCCCGTGACTTCCAGTTGGGACACTCTGTGGCCTTTCAGAATCCTGAGACCCCGACCGGTGACGGTGGCATTGTGAATGCTGACATGGCGTAAAGCAGTGACGCTTGGGTCAAAGAGTGATAAGGACTCATCGTTCAACTTGCCCTTTTCACTCAATGTAGATAGAAGCTGGTCGGAGAGGTTTGCGTGAAAACATGTTTCTGGATCCTTGAAAACCATTTTGGTCTGCTTGGGATCAACCGTGGCAGCAGGCTGCACTTCACAAAGAGCTGTCAAGTTTTCACATATGAAGTCAACGCAGCAGCTCTGCAGGCTCATTGGAGTGTCATACATTTTGTACGCGTCAATGACCTACAAGCTTAGCAGATATGGTCCCTGAAATAGAGTATAGTAATTAAAGTTTATTTAAAAAAAGACTACACCAAATTAAAAATTAACTAGCTTATCCTTGTAAATATATGGCAGTTTTTTTTAAATATACCGTAACACAAGAGTATGTACAAGTTTATACATTTGATTCAGCTTAGTGTTCAAAAGTAACTTGTTGTTTGAATTAATAGTTGAAACATAGTTGTAACCGTTGTGGATTCTATTATAAACGGTTTTATGGTTTTAATTCTAGGGCAATTACAACGAAGAAGTGCAGCACTGCCTTTAAGATGGGATCTTCTAAGGCTCTGTAAAGGTCTTGCTTTTAACAGCATCTACATAGATTTCCAGATTTAATATTATCAGCATAACTCTTTCAACTGGCATCATCAGCATAACTCTTCCAGCTGGATTAATAGGTATCATCGTGATAACTCTTTCAGCTGGCTCAATTGGTATCATCCTCCTCTTTTCGTCTGTGGATTTTTTCATTATCAAAAAGAGGAACAATATACAGTGGACACTTTGGGAACAACTGAATGATCTAGACTTTGAAGATGACAATGCACTTCTGTCCCACAACCAGCAAAAAATGCAGGAAAAGACTGAAGACATAGCCACCATTTCAGCACAGCTCGGACTAAATATAAATAAAAGCAAGACGAAGATCATGAAAGTAAACTCAGCCAAGCAATCTTAAAAATTTGCTAATGATACCAACATCATTGGCTTAATATCTGAAGGAGAAGGCTTATACCACAACTTAGTTACAAGCTTTATCAATTGGTGCAATGAAAATTTTCTCCAGTTGAATGTCTCAAAAACAAAGGAAATGGTTGTCGATTGCAGGAGGGGGAAACTATTTGAAGAAAGATGTTATTGTAAAACTAAACACATTTTGGATGATAAATCTCACCCTCTTCATCACAGATACTTAAGATCGGCCTGTTTGGGACGAATTCTTTCCATCAGGGCGAGGACTGAAAGAAATAAAAATTCTTTTGTTCCCCAATCTGTAGGAATTTACCATCGTGCTCTCCTTTAAGTCACAAATCTTAATGAGAACTAATAAGTCCCTGATATGGCTAAGAGAACTCATTGAATGGCTGCTTGTGAACAATTTATTACAAATGTCTTGTGTTCAAATTGTTTTATACATGTGCTGAAAATGTACAATGAAATCATAAAACATTTCCATTTATTTGGATCACTATATATGGTATCCTGCCGTCTTTGCGAGACAATATAGTAGCTATGTAGGCCTACACTTCGACGAGTGGCTAACTAGGCCAATCTTGGAATGACAATCTCGACTGCATTTCTCGAAGAAGAATATTGATTCCTGGTTAGATTTGGCCTTCCGAATTGTTATTTTTGTTGCAAGGGCCTCATTTTGCATATCCTCTTTTGCATAGCCTTTTTCACTCCTTCAAACACTGCTGTTCGCCTACTAGAATATTGCACGACAATGATCTCCCATTTGTTGATTTCAATGTTGGCCTCCCTCATGCTCCTTTTGCAAATGTTTATAAATCTCAGGCGTGGCTGTCCAATAAGTCTTGTCCCTTCTGCCAACTCTCCATACAGCAGCATCTTTGGAATACGGTTTTCATCCATTCTCCTTATATGACCTAACCAGCGAAGGCGCCTCTTGCTAAGAGCGAAGGCGCCTCTTGTTAAGAGCGAAGAATATGCTAAACATTTGTGCACGTTCCAAGACCTCTGTGTTAGGCACCTTGTCCTGCCAGTGGATGTGTAACTTGCGACGCAGACATCTTTGATGGAAGCTGTTGAGTTTCCGCTCATGACTGGTATATTTGGTCCACACTTCATTGCCATATACTAAGCACGCATGCCTGACAGACACTTAGTTTTGTTTTATCAGTTAGATTGAGATTAATCCTCACCCACATATTCAGTTTAGCCATAGTTGCTGCTGCTTTTGCGATCCTGATGTTTATCTCTTCAACAACGGACAGCGAACTATAAATATTGGATCCAAGGTGTGTGAAATTCTCAAAAACCAACAGATTATGGCCCTCAATAGATATGATTGGAGGGGCGGTGCTTCTTGCATCATGAAATGTGTTTTCTGTAAACTAATTGACAGTCCAAACTCTTTACAAGCGTCTGATAGGCGATTAACTAGTCGCTGAAGACCTTCTTCTGGGTGAGATATTAAGGCAGCATCGTCAGCGAACAGCAGTCCACGAATTAGTACCTTTTTTTACCTTGAGCTTTGTATGAAGGAGAGCGTTATTGAACAGCCTACCATCAAATCTGGTATGGATGTACACTCATCTTCACAATCTCTGAAGGCAAATTGAAGGAGCATCAAGAAGAAAATGGAGACGAGTGTTGGTGCCAGTACACAACCCTGTTTTACTCCGCTGCTGACTGGGAATGCCTCAAAGACAGCGCCATTGAATGTGACTGCTGTGCATGTTTTTGTGAAATAACTGTATGAGTTTGAGCAGTCGTGGGGGACAACCTATTCTTTGCAAGATTCTGAACAGGCCTCTCCGACTTACGAAGTCAAATGCCTTTGTCAGATCTATGAAAGCAATATAAAGAGGCATATTCTGTTCAAGACAATTCTCCTGCATTTGGCGTAACGAGAATATCATGTCTATTGTTGAGCGCCCACTCTGGAAGCCACACTGGGACTCTGGGTAAATGCAGTTAGCCAGACTTTGCAATTCTTTTACGGCAACATGGGCAAAAGTCTTTCCAACTAAGCCAAGGAGAGAAATTCCTCGGTAGTTATTACAATCACTTCCGTCCCCTTTATTTTTGTACAATTTTGGCATCTCTCATGTCCTGGGGAATATGACCTGTTTCCCAACACAGACAGAGGAGCTCATTTAAGGGCTGAAGTAGTATTGTTTTAAAATTTTTGAGGACTTCCTGGGGAATGCCGTCAATCCCTGGTGCCTTCCCATCAGCAAGGTAATCAATGGCTTTTTTGAGCTCCTGTAAAGTTGGCTCATTATCTAGTTCTTCCATTATTGTCAAGGCGGTTTATTCAGAGCAGTCTCAGTGACTACACTCATTGTTGCATATAGTTCAAGATAATGCTCTACTTAATGCTGGAATTGATTGTTTGGGTTCTGGATAATTTGACCAGTCTTGGACTTGAGTGGTGCTATTTTTGAAATGAGTGGACCTAAAGCGCTCTTGACGCCCTCGTACATGCTCCTTGCTTTCCTGTTGTCGGAAGCCAATTGCATACAGTTGCAAAGGTCCAGCCAGTAAGTGTTGGCAGGCCGTCTGTTGGAATATTTTTTTTTGAATTTTGAAGAGCCTGTAGTGTACGAGCACAAGGTGCATCCCTATAGGCAAGTAGAGCTCTTCTCTTCCTCTCGGTTATGGGTTCCAACACATTCCAATGCGCCTCATACCAGTCATTATCTTTATGCTCCATTTTACCATAGACATGGCTGAATCGTACACAGCATCTTGTAAATGAGTCCACTTAGAGTCAATAGTGCCATCGGGTGACCCTTTAGCAAGGGTGTCCTTTTGTGAATTGCTGCGTTTTTTCTGGATTGTTTGAGCAGTAGATGTTACTTTGTGGACGACACTTCTTTTTAGCATTATGCAATTTTTTGGCATTAGTCGTAGCTTGCTTGCTATGAGAAAATGGTCTGTGTCACAGTCAGCACTATGGTAGCTGTGGGTGTGAAGTACACTGTCTAGCTCCACGTTCCTAGTGATGATGAGGTCTAGCTGGTGCCAGTGGCAGGAACGTGGGTGTGGCCATGACACATTTTGAATTTTTTTTAACTTTGAAGAAGGTGTTGGTAACACAGAGACCATGGGAGAAGCAACATTGTATTAAGCCTCAAGAAATAGTATTTAATTGACAACGAAGTTTATATCAAATCCTTTTGATGTAAAAACAAAATAAATGGCTACGATGACCACAACCACCTCCAAGCTGATTTGAAGTGCCTTATGAATTGGGCAGACAAATGGGGCATGAAATTTAACAAAACCAAATGCTACACAATGAGCATCTCAAGAAAAAAAATATAAACCTATATGTAATCCCTGAACAAGACAATTCTCTAACAAGTATCAAATAATCTATACCTTGGAATTCTCTTGGAATAACCTAAAATGGTCACCCCCATTTAACAAAATTTCAAAAAAAAAAAAAGCTAACTCCAAACTAGGTTTCATTCGAAGAAATCTGCACCACTGCCCAACCTCCTGCAAAGAAAATGCCTATCTTGCACTACTAGAATATGGTGCGATTATCTGGGACTCATACCTAAAGCAAGACGTGGACAAGATGGAGCAAATCCAACGTAACGCAGTGTGCTTCATCGCACATGACTACAAATCCACAACTCCTGGCTTCGTCACTGGCCTTTTAAAAAGATTTGACATCCCCTCCCTCAAAGACAGACGAGAAAAGCTCCGCCTAAAATTCTTATATAAAGTGGTCATGAGGCTAGTGCCGGCCATCCCAGCAAACATGTATCTCACCCCACAGAAGCCAGGTGGCTTAATCAGAGACAAACGCTCACTAAACACTGACTTCACCTCTAACAACCCCATAAGCAATTACATCTAGAACAATACTAAATAGTAAATGCTTCACTGTGCCTCAGTGTAACACAGTCCAGTATAAACAATCATTCTTCCCATACACAATAATCACTTGGAACCACCTGGACAATGCCGCCGTGGACTCGACATACATCGAGAGCTTCAAGGCTACCCTGGCATCCGATAGGAGCCGTTAGGATAGCAGCATCACTTCCCCAACCATTGCACATATATGTTACAGAGAGCTTGTTTACATCATATTTCTCGTGCGTGCCCTCTGATTGACCCCGCATGAGACGCTGTGTTCACAAAGGGGTGTGGCTTAGGCCTTTGAAGTATCTTGTTTACAATCGGCTTCCAATTACGCATTGGGTATAATGACTCGGGGTACTTTCTGGAATGTACTCCTTAACCCGAGATATGTAAACAACACGTCATAAGCCCTTCTGGAAGCGCCTTACTCTACACCTATATAAGGGATTGACAGGCACGGACGAGGGGAGATTTTCATATAGATTCTCTTAACATTACGAGGCGTGTTTTATTCTTTGTGTATTTGTGTGCTCCTACTTATATGTGTTTATTTCGCATTATTTATTGGCATATTTATTTCTAATTGTATTAACTGTGTACCGGTACGAGATCTACATACTGTAAGTTGAAGATTGTAATTTTATTTTATTTTCTTTTGTAATTATCTTTAGACATAATAAATCTTATTAATTGTAACTAGAAACTGTTTTGGGTCGTATCTTTAATATTGTTGATTCTGTGGTATCGTCCTTTGTTAGGCACTGATTACAACGAGCCAATTAAAATTAAAATAGGAGATTAATTTCTCCCAATACAAGTCAGTGCGTAACAAATTGGGGGCATCGTCCGAGATAACCGAATCCATATTTTGTTCTCATTAGACCCCAATTTTAACAAATTGTGTTCTTTTCCGAGGATAATTTTAATCCATAATTTTTATTACACCAATAATAAATTGAGTGTTTTTCTGTGGATTTTGACCCACTGTTTACTTTTATATACTCAGATTAATTTTGAGTACACGATACCATTTTACGATACCAACAACAGAGCTGGTTACAATTTTTATTTAAATTCAATTAGATTAGTGTGTGCACTAAGCTTAAATTTGTATAAAAATTGTTATATTTTGCCTGTGTCTAAATGGATTTTGATGTTGAAAACCCATCAGTAGAGGCATTAGACAAATGTTCTAGGAAGGAGCTATTTTCCATTGCTAAAGCTCTAGGAATGAATGTAGCTCATTCGGCTGTAAAAAAGACCATACGAGACATGATCATCGTTCACTTAGTGAATGAAGACATGTTATCTGAGGATGAACTGGCCTCAGTCACACAACCGAATGATCCAAGTATGGAGCTCCAACTGAAGCTCAAACAGCTGGAGCTAGATAAAGAACGAGAGCTCAAACAGCTGGAGCTAGATAAAGAACGAGAGCTTAGAAAAAGTTTAGGGAACTGTGGAAACGTGATGGCCAGACTCATGTTGAGTTCCTCCGGGAAAAGGAACGGCTCCTGGACAAGTGGCTGCACGCAACCAACACCGAGACAGACTTCAAGAAATTCAAGAACCTCATTCTGATGGAGGAGTTCAAAAATTGTGTTCGTACTGAGGTGCGGATACATATTGCAGACCGTGGCGAAGGTGACGCACATACGGCAGCAGTGTTAGCCGACGACTTCACTATCTCACATCAACTTTCCAAGAATCCATCTGACACCAAAAATGAAAGGCACAATAGGACAACAACATCAACTTACAGTAAACCTCCACAAAAACCATTCAAGCCCGGTACGAAAGAAATTGGTGCAAAAGACACATGTGCCTACTGTAAAAAAGAAGGACATACGAGGGATGATTGCTGGAAACTCAAGAAGAAAACTGAGAAGACCACACATCCTGGTACACAACACAAAGTCTCCGCTTGTACGTCTCGTCATACATCTGGAAATACATTTTCAAACTTCAAGAGTTTTTGCTCTCCAGATGTCCATACAAACTTCAAAGAGGTTTGTCACGACTCATCAAAGAGTTCCATTATGAACAATAAGGCTAGTTTTACTGACTCCAGCCAAGTTCCTGCTTCGACTGCGAGTTTTATGAGCTTGTCGCCAAGATCCTTTTGCTCCAAGAAGAGGTCTACCTCCAGAGGGCGTCTTACTGAGGACTTACTGAGGACTTGTGTGCAAGTTTTGACGACTCTACCCAGAGTTTTACTTCCTCTACCCTAGCCGAATGTTCTCAAGACTCCAACAAGAGTTTACCTACCAAGGTCCAAAATTCTACATCAGAAACTACTGATGTCATACAAGACTTCATGCCTTTCATATCGGAAGGATTCGTATCACTGCCAGGTGATTTTTCCAGTCTACAACCAATCAAAATCTTACGAGATACAGGTGCTTCACAGTCCTTACTACTTGAGGGTATACTTCCCTTGTCTGATTCTACTGCTACTGGGAGCAACATCCTGTTACGAGGTGTAGAGCTGGGATGCATAGATGTACCTTTACATCTCATCAACCTAAAATCAGACTTAGTCTCTGGACCTGTGGTTGTGGGTGTCCGACCAACATTACCATTGGACGGCATCTCGTTGCTGCTAGGCAATGACTTAGCTGGTGGGAAGGTGATAGCCGAGCCCATCGTTACTCATGAACCTTGTTTAAATGAAAATCAGGAAGAAGATCAAGAATTGTATCCAGCATGTGCTGTGACAAGGGCCATGAGTTCCAAGATCTCCACAAAAGAGATTTCACAAAAAAGCCATAAAATTCTTCCTGAAATTGACCTGGGAAAAACATTTTTTGCAAGTCTTAATGAAGAGGCTAGTGATTACAAGACTCCAACTCGAATGCAACTTATTGAAGAACAGAAGAGTGATCCAGAAATAGTCAAACTTCGAGAGAACGCTTTGACCCAAGAAGAAGCTGAACAATTCCCTGTATGTTATTACCTTCAAGATGACATACTTTTGAGAAAATGGCGACCTCCAGACGCAAATGCTGATGAAGAATGGAGGATAGTTCATCAAATAGTAGTTCCTACCCCATTCCGGAACGAAGTCCTGAACTTAGCCCATGACTCACCACTTTCAGGTCATTTGGGAGTAAAGAAGACATATCACAAAATCACGTCGCACTTCTTTTGGCCCAAAATCAAGAAAGATGTGGTTGAATACTGCAGATCATGTCATACTTGTCAGGTGGTAGGGAAACCAAATCAGAAGATACCAGCAGCTCCTCTTCAACCCATTCCAGCATTCGAAGAACCTTTCAGTCGCGTTATTATAGACTGCGTTGGACCTCTGCCAAAGACAAAATCAGGTCACCAATACTTGCTGACAATCATGTGTGCGTCAACAAGATTCCCAGAAGCTATTCCTCTTCGCAATATCAAGACTCCGAACATCGTCAAAGCCTTGACGAAGTTTTTTACATTGTTTGGTCTTCCGAAGTCTGTACAGTCTGACCAAGGAACCAACTTCAAGGCTGGAATATTCAAACAAGTGATGAACCAGTTGGGCATAGAACACTGCTTGTCGAGTGCATATCATCCTGAGTCACAGGGAGCACTTGAGCGATTCCATCAGACGCTGAAGAACATGATCAGAACCTACTGCCTAGAACAAGAGAAAGACTGGGATGAAGGCATCAACATGCTATTGTTCGCCGCAAGAGAAGCAGTTCAAGAATCACTTGGATTCAGCCCCTTCGAACTGGTGTTTGGCCACACGGTTCGCGGTCCCCTTAAACTTTTAAAAGACATGTGGATGTCATCGACACCCACGGAAGGACTTCTTGACTATGTCCAAAAATGTAAAACTAAACTTTTTAATGCCGTTAATTTGGCTAAAACACATTTAAAAGATTCACAATCTAAAATGAAAGTTTGGTATGACAAAAAGTCAAAATTCAGACAGTTTGCTTCAGGGGACAAAGTGCTTGTGCTTTTGCCGATACCAGGGCAAGCACTACAAGCTAGATATTTTGGTCCTTATGTTGTTGAGTCCAAAATCAATGATTTAAATTACATTGTGTTAACACCAGATCGTAAAAGAAAGAAACAGTTATGTCACATTAACATGTTAAAAGAATATTTTGATAGAAAATGTGATGATCATTGTCCATCCTCAGAAACAAATGTTAACACAATCTCAACTGTAACTTCAGTACTTAAAGAAAATGTTACTGAAACCTTTGATAGTGTCCCAGAAAAAGTTGGTAATTATAAACTTAAAAATTCAGAAGTATTGGCCAACTTAGATAAGAAACTAGGACATTTGTCATTGTCAGAGAAGGATGTTGTTAAGTCTGTTATTGCAGATTTTGTTTTACTCTTCCCTGATGTACCTAATAAAACCAACATTGCTGTACATGATGTTGACATTGGCAATGCAGTTCCGGTCAAGCAACACCCCTATAGGGTCAATCCGGAAAAACTTGAAATAATCCGGTCTGAAATAAAATACATGCTTGAAAATGATATAATTGAACCAAGCTCTAGTAACTGGAGTTCACCATGTATTTTAGTCCCAAAGCCTGACAAAAGTTACAGGTTTTGTACTGACTTCAGGAAAGTGAATGCATTCACAAAGACTGATTCCTTTCCGATTCCAAGGATAGACGATCTTATAGATCGAATAGGTGATGCCAAATATGTAACCAAGATAGACTTACTATCAGGTTATTGGCAGGTTCCTCTATCTGACAGAGCAAAAGAAATCTCTGCTTTTTGTACTCCAGATGGTTTATATCAATATAAAGTAATGCCGTTTGGAATGAAAAATGCCCCAGCTACATTCCAACGTCTTGTAAATAACATTATTGCTGACCAGGAAAATTGCAGCGCCTATATTGATGATGTAATTATTTACAGTCAAGATTTTTCATCTCATGTAAACCAATTAAGATCTCTGTTTAAAAAATTTTTGCAGGCAAATGTAACTGTAAATTTAAATAAATGTGAATTTTGTCATGCAACTGTGGAATATTTAGGTCACATAGTGGGTCAAGGTCATGTAAAGCCTGTTCAAGCTAAGATAAATGCTATTGTATCACTTCCACCACCCACTACTAGAAAACAGTTAATGAGATTTTTGGGAATGGCAGGTTATTATAGAAAATTTTGCAAAAATTTCTCAGTTATTGCTTCTCCTTTAAGTAATATGTTAAAGAAAAATGCAAAATTTCATTGGTCAGATGCTTGTCAGGAAGCATTCGAAAACATTAAAAATATACTTGCTAATGCTCCTGTTCTCATTGCACCAGACTTTAACAAACAGTTTAAATTAGCTGTAGATGCCAGTGATGTTGGCATTGGTGCAGTTCTTTTTCAAGAAGATGACCACAATGTAGATCATCCTGTCTCTTATTTCTCAAAGAAATTCAACTCACATCAGAAAAACTATTCCACTGTAGAAAAGGAATGTTTAGGTTTAATTCTTGCTCTCCAACAATTTGATTTTTATGTCAGTTGTTCTTTACATTCAGTACTTGTTTTTACTGATCACAATCCTTTAACATTTTTGAATAAGATGGTCTCCAAAAATCAAAGATTGTTAAGATGGAGCCTATTTTTACAAGAATATAATTTGGACATCAAACATATTAAAGGCAAAGATAATGTCATTGCAGATACTTTGTCCAGAAATTAATTTTCACTTATGTTATTGTTTATAAGCTGTTAAGAAGCTTTTTGTCTTATATTTTGAGAGTAAGAAATGTACTTTCTTCAATTTTAATGGAAAAAGAATTCCATTTTTGAACAATGAATTTTTTTTCTTTTAAGAGGGGAGGTGTTATAGAGAGCTTGTTTACATCATATTTCTCGTGCGTGCCCTCTGATTGACCCCGCATGAGACGCTGTGTTCACAAAGGGGTGTGGCTTAGGCCTTTGAAGTATCTTGTTTACAATCGGCTTCCAATTACGCATTGGGTATAATGACTCGGGGTACTTTCTGGAATGTACTCCTTAACCCGAGATATGTAAACAACACGTCATAAGCCCTTCTGGAAGCGCCTTACTCTACACCTATATAAGGGATTGACAGGCACGGACGAGGGGAGATTTTCATATAGATTCTCTTAACATTACGAGGCGTGTTTTATTCTTTGTGTATTTGTGTGCTCCTACTTATATGTGTTTATTTCGCATTATTTATTGGCATCATTATTTCTAATTGTATTAACTGTGTACCGGTACAAGATCCACCATACTGTAAGTTGAAGATTGTAATTTTATTTTATTTTCTTTTGTAATTATCTTTAGACATAATAAATCTTATAAATTGTAAATAGAAACTGTTTTGGGTCGTATCTTTAATATTGTTGATTCTGTGGTATCGTCCTTTGTTAGGCACTGATTACAACGAGCCAATTAAATTAAAATAGGAGATTAATTTCTCCCAATACAAGTCAGTGCGTAACATATATCATATGCCAGTACATGGATTCAGCAAAGGACCCTACCCGAACCAGAGCACTCAAGTATAACTTTGTAGTTAGAACCTTGCCTCATTATAATTATAATTGTGGAGAAAGAGTCTCCTTCTTTACCGACTAAACACTACTAGTACTAGAGTAGAGTCAAATCATTTGACAAATGACACACTCATACGACTCATACATGTTTTTTTGTTATTTTAAAAAATTTAAGAGCCCTTCTAATCTCTATATGTTCCATGTACCCAGTCAAATGTTCTTGATCTGCATTTTGCCGTAGTCATTTAGTTTCAAATATTTCTTGTGTTAGTCATATAACCTAATTCTATGCACTGAAAGATAGCACCTATTGCCTTGTGTTTAGTGTGAGTGACTGTATAAAGTGTATTGACAGTAATGAGTAATGTCTATTGAACTAAAGCTAAGTAGGGGGAGAGGGGGGTGTTGACTAGACCAATGAGGCTATGTTGCACATACTACTGATCATTTATACTACATTTCAGTAAATATAGCTATGACATAGCTTGTCATAACATAGTAAATAACCTACTAAACTCAGTTCTAATTTATCAACAATGTCAACATTAACAACTATAATTTACTGTCTAAAAATAGATCTACATGTGACATGTTTATTGTTAAGGTAGGAACAGAAAATATTAAACATCGAACATAAGCTCTTAAAATTTGACTGTATCAAACGTCTAAAACAACTTACAAATAAATTTGTTTTAAAAGTTAAACACACTGACACAGTTTGAGTTAACCATTCTCATTCAGACGAGACGAGTGACCGAGTGAGTAACTCGGGTACAGTAAACAACTTACTCTGGCTGGTATCACTATCAATTATTATGTGAAAATGTGGTAAACTCTTTACAATAAATATGAATGATGGTTCTTTAACGTCGATGAAAACAAGAATAGTATAACAGTTACAAAAAATTCTCAATTGACCAAACATAATAAACATTTGCGATAGAGTCGGCCATTTTGTCTAGACCTGCCCTCTATCTTTTCCAATAAAACCAATGCTGCCACTCCCTTGTTTAAAATCCCCAAGATTTGGTCAAATAATTTCCCAAGATTTAAAAATAAAATCTATTAAGATAAGATAAGATACTTTTAGGCTCAGTTCACACAATCAAATTTTCGATCATGCATTTGATGCGATTTTGTCACAACTTTCAAATTATTTTTATTATTATTATTATTATCATTATCACTATTATTACTGGTGTTGCTATATAGCGCGGTACCCCAGCCTAGGCTGGGCTCACCACGCCTTACTTACAATCAGTGTCTCTTTCAGAAATTTTCTCGGGGGGGGCACTTCAGATTTTCATGGGGGGGGGGGC